ATAAGAGAACAGAGCTGATCATGTTTTTCCATTGAACCACTTGAACATTTCAGAAGGTCATGGCCAAGTTCAAGGACTGCAACTTTAATGTTCCATGAATTCAGTGGAAAGACCTCCAGTTTCCCTTCCAACCAACGTGATGATCACACGGACCCAGAACAGTGGAACTTTCTTCTGGAACATAAAACTTGTCCCATGGTGGGACCCTATCTTTCCTTCCCTTTTCTGCTCTTCCATAAGGAAGCCTGGGGAATTGGTAGCAGGCCGCGCCCTTCCGACCATGAACCGGCTGGAACTAAAGGAACACCGCCCATGATCACTCTCTTAGAAGAATAAATTAACGCAGACATTTAGAAGAGGCAGCTGACCCCATAAAAGGGCTTTAGTCACAGTGCTCAAACAAAGGACAATCACAGGGGAGAATGTCCTCATCCTGCACTATAACCATATAGTCCCTGAGTTTTCACGATGATCCCTGCCGTACTTATTCAGTGCATCGTCTGCTTTTCAGTTAACAGACACTGATTGGTTATTAACATAAACATCCATCACTGATAACATAATATCCCCGTTCCTAGAGTTTACGGGTGTATTATTACTCTAACACGTAATCCAGTCTTCTCTCCTGGTGCGGGCATCGCTTGGTTTAAGTGAATTGAAACTTAACGGGAACGTGGTGGTTTTGATTAAATACTGACTAGAGAGTGTAAATTTATGAATTGTTTTAAGAGTAATAAAGGAGAAAATATTAACCTACTGAGTGGTAGTGGGGTGTCCAGCCATATTATATTTGCTTTACATCATGATTTTGATTTTATAATATTGAATCCCTTGTTCCCTTCAGATTCCTAAAGGAGACTTTTTTTTTTTATGTTTCAGCCCCAGAAAGAGTTGTATGTTTCATTAATAACTGGCTTCTTTTCATTTTGTCCCCATGAATCAGGTTTCCCTCTTTCTTCTGGCTGCTAAGAAACTTAGTACCAGCCTCACAGCCTCCCAGACAATCATGTCATCTGCACGCAGGGAGTTATGGTTTTTAACCAGTCAGTCCATTTCTTCTAAGTTGACAAATTCATGTGTGCAGTGATTTGTAGTATTCCTTTCGATCCTTCTCAGAATGCAGGGTTTGTAGTAATAATCTTATTTTGTTCCATCTTGATCATCTGTATTTTCTCTTTTTTTCTGTCAGTCTTGCTGGAGGTTTGTCAACTTTATCGATCATTTTAAGAACCAGCTCTTTGTGGGTGGGGCGCCTGGGTGGCTCAGTCCGTTAAGTGTCTGACTCTTGATTCTGATTTTGGCTCAGGTCTTGATCTCAGGGTCGTGAATTCAAGAGCTGTGTTGGGCTCCACAGTGGGTGTGGAGCCTACTTAAAAAAAAAAAAAGAACCAGTTCTTTGTCTCTTTAATTTTTCTCTATGGTTTTTCTGTTTCCAATTGTACTGATATTTTTCTCTTATCTGTCTATAAAATGAAGCAAATCTTACCCGTCTCACGGAGTTATGAGATTTAAATGAAATGACACGTAAAAGAACAGAGAGCAGAACCTGAAATATGGATATTTTAATGAAATGTGATTCACCCCCCCCCACACCCAAATATCTTCCTTAATAGAATCCCCTATTTAGGAATTATGGCAGTTAAAAAAAAAGAATCTATCAAATAAAGAAAGAAAGGAAGGAAGGAAGGAAGGAAGGAAGGAAGAAAGAAAGAAAGAAACAAAGAAAGAAACAAAGAAAGAAAGAATCTATCTGTCTGGAGTAGCTTGCTCAGGGTTTCAGGCTTTACTTTCCTGAGATATGTTTTTTTTCCCTCAGAATTATACTTGATTCAATGTTATGTCTAGATGTACATACACAGCTGACCATTGAATAACACGGTTATATGTCAGTACAGTGCGAGGTGCACCAACCCCCTGCACAGTTGAAAATCTGTGTATAATATGTGACTCCTCCCAAACTTAACAACTAGTGTTGGCCAGAAGCTTTACTGATAACATAAACAGTCAATCAACACATATTTTGTATGTTGTTATGTATTACATACTGCATTCTTGCAATGAAGTAAGCTAGAGAGAAGAAAATTGTAGGGGCACCTGGGTGGCTCAGTTGGTTAAGCATCCAACTCTTGGTTTCGGCTCATGTCATGATCTCAGGATCATGAGACTGAGCCCTGAGTCAGGGCTCCGCACTCAGCGCAGTCTGCTTGAGATTCTCTCTCTACCTCTCTTTCTGCCCCCTCCGTGCATGCACACGCTCTCTCTAAAATAAATAAATTTTTAAAAAGAAAATCATAAGAGAAAATACATTTATAGTACTTCACTGTATTTATAAAAAAAAAAAATCTTCATATAAGCAGATGGGCGCAGTTCAAACCTGTGTGCAAGAGTCAGCTGCATACAACCTTAAGATTCCCAAGAAATCTATGGGCGCCTGGGTGGCTCAGTTGGTTAAGCGACTGCCTTCAGCTCAGGTCGTGATCCTGGAGTCCCCAGATCGAGTCCCGCATCGGGCTCCTTGCTCAGCGGGGAGTCTGCTTCTCCCTCTAACCCTCCTCCCTCTCATGCTCTCTGTCTCTCATTCTCTCTCTCTCAAATAAATAAATAAAATCTTTAAAAATTAAAAAAAAAAGATTCCCAAGAAATCTAAATTAAAAAATCTAGAACTAGTGAGTTCAACAAGTTTGCAATATACAAGATAAACATACTAAAATCAATTGCACTTCATTATTCTAGCAATGAACACCAAAATTAAAAATACGGTCACATAACATTTACAATTGCTAAAAAAAAAAAAAAAAGAAAGAAAGAAGTGTAAATCTAATAAAATAGGTATAGGATTTTTATGCTGAAAACTATAAGATGCTGCTGAAATAAATCAAAGATCTAAATGGAGAGACATATCATGTTTGTGTTTTGAAAGACTCAACACAGTAAAGATGCCAGTTCCCAGAAGATTTCTTTGTAATGAGATTATTTTAAAATTTAAATGAGGGGCGCCTGGGTGGCTCAGTCGTTAAGCGTCTGCCTTCGGCTCATGTCATGATCCCAGGGTCCTGGGATTGAGCCCCGCATAGGGCTCCCCGCTCAGCGGGAAGCCTTCTTCTCCCTCTCCCACTCCCCCTGCTTGTGTTCCTGCTCTCGCTATCTCTCTCTCTGTCAAATAAATAAATAAAATCTTAAAAGAAAAATGAATAAAATAAAATTTAAATGAAAAGTAAAAGGAACTAAACTAGATAAAACAACTGTGGAAAAGAAGACTAATATCAAAGAATCAATGTACCTGATTTCAAGACTTTTTATATAGCTACAATAATCAAGACTATGAGATATGGGTAGAGGGATAGACACGTAGATCAATGGTACAAAACAGAAAACCCAGAAATAAATCCACACAAATATGCCCAACTATCTTTCAACAGAACTGCAAAAGCAATTCAGTGGAGGAAGGATACCCTTACGCTTTTCAACAAATGGTGTTAGAGCAACTGGACATCCAGAGCAAAAAAGTGAACTGTGACTTAAGTCTCATAATTTATAGAAAAATTAACTAAAATGGATCTCATCTTTAAATGCAAAATGTAAAACCATAACACCTTTAGGGAAAAAACATAGAAAATCTTCACGATTTGGAGCTAGGCAAAGGGTTCTTAAACTTAACATCAAAAGCCCAATTCATAAAAGAAAAAATGGTCAGTTCAACTTCATCAAAATGAAAGACTTTTGCTCTGTGAAAGACCCTGTTATGAGGATAAAAAGACAAAGTGGAGATTGGGAGAAGATATTTGCAAACCACATACACAACAAAGAACTAGATGTAGAATATATAATAAAGAACTCACAGGACCCAACAGAAAAAAAAATCAAGCACCCCAACTGGGAAATGAGTGAATGACATGAACAAAATATTTCACTGAAGATTTTTCTAATACGATAAGCACATGAAAAGATGTTCAATATCACCAGCCATCAGGGAAATGCAAATTAAAACTACAATAAGGGGCACCTGGTGGCTCAGTTGGTTAAGCGTCTGCCTTCGGTTCAGGTCGTGATCCCAGAGTCCTGGGATAGAGCCCTACATCGGGCTCCCTGCTCAGCAGGGAGTCTGCTTCTCCCTCTCCCTCTGTCTCTCACCCCTGCTTGTGTTCTCTCTCTCTCAAATAAATAAATGAAATCTTAAAAAAAAAAAAAAAACTACAATGAAATATCACTACACACCTATCCCAAGGGCTAAAATAAAAAAGTGACCGTACCTCCTGCTGGCAAAGATGTGAAAAAATTGGATCACTCATCCATCGCTGGTGGGGGTATAGAATGTTGCAGCCACTCTGGGGAACACATTTCGGCAGTTTATTAAAAAGCTAAACATGCAACCACCACACAAAGAAATTGCACTCCTGGGCATTTTTTCCCAGAGAAATGCTCCCACAAAATATTTACACAAAAACCTGAACATGCATGTTTATAAGAGTTTTATTCATGATAGCAAAAAATTAGGAACAACCCAGATTCATGGGTGAATCGTTAAACTGTGGTACAGCCATGCCATGAAATACTATGAAAAAATTAAAAAGGAACAAACTTTTGACTCACACAACAACCTGGATTAATGTCCAGAGAATTATTCTGAACGTAAATAGCCAGTCCCCAAAGCTTACAGACTGTATGATTCCATTTCTGTAATATTCTTGAAATAACAAAGTTGTAGAAATGAAACAGATTAGTGGTTGCCTGGGTTAAGAAGGGGGTGCGGAGGGGCGCCTGGGTGGCTCAGATGGTTAAGCGTCTGCCTTCGGCTCAGGTCATGATCCTGGAGTCCCAGGATCGAGTCCCGTATCGGGCTCCCTGCTCAGCAGGGAGTCTGCTTTTCCCTCTGACCCTCTCCCCTTTCATGCTCTCTCTCATTCTCTCTCTCTCTCTCTCAAATAAATATATAAAAGAAAATAAAGAAGGGGGTGGGGACTCGTTCAGGGAACTGAACCTGGCTCTAAAAGGACCACGGTAGCTTTGCACAGTGGCAGTATCCTAGCCAATGAGGTTTATCCGAGGCGCGATTATTGCTAATTGAAAAGGACTACGGTAAGGATTCTTGTGGTGATGGACATGTTCTATTGCAAAATTAAAAGTTTATTTTCAAAACATGAAATACAGGGGCGCCTGGGTGGCTCAGTCGGTTGAGCGTCTGCCTTGGGCTCGGTCACAATCTCAGGGTCCTGGGATGGAGCCCCACATCGCATCAGGCTCCTTGCCCAATGAGGAGTCTGCTTCTCCCTCTGCCCCTCCCCCAACTCATGCTCTCTCTCAAATAAATAAATAAAATCTTAAAAAAACCCTGCTTGTGAACTCTCTCTCTCTCTTTCTCTGTCAAATAAATAAAATCTTAAAAAAAAAACCCCATGAAATACATTTTCAACTTTATATTGACTTTAATTTACATTTTGCTGAAAATTTATATAAAAAGTACATACTTTGAGTGTCATTACATTTTCTTTTATTTTTGAGGAGGATTATAAATCATGAAGTGATAAAAATTAGAACATACTAACATGGAACACAGGGGGAAAAAAGCTGAGACGAAAAAAAAGAACAAACTTTGCCACATAAAATTCAATCATGCCTGATAAAAACAATGAAAATGAGCAAGAAAATTATTTTCATCAAATCCCCATCCTAACGGGTCATCTGAAATCCTGATACTTCATATTCCTTGCTGGGGTATTTCATTACTGATCAGAACATGAGGAATAAACAGAGGGAATGAATTTGTATTCTTGCCCCAGGCTTCTTGCCCAGCCCACTCTCGGTTCTTAGGAGGGGCCAGCACTCCTGGAGGTGGAAAAACTATTTATAATGATCCAAGCCCAGAAACTAACTCTATTTTACTTAGCAACACAAAGACAGTCTTTACACAATGTTACTGTGCACTGAATTTTCTAGGAATGCAACTAACCAGCAAATCGAGGCAAGACAGCTCTTTGCATTGCTCAATTTACCCTGAGTTGTCAGCATTATAGGGAGTCATTGGCGTCAACAGCGTGCGGGTGTTTGAACCCCAGACAGACGCTGAGCCCCGACCTGACTCAGACCTGTTTATTCGCACTCAGCCTCCAGCATTTACAGATTCAAACAACGTGATATTTTGTTAGAACTTCTTTTCCTTTTATTTCTCCTGTACCTTATAGGTAGGGCGTGATACTGATTTTTTTTTCAGTAATGTATATAGGTAAGTTATGCTATGAATGGATTTCATATCAGGATATTAAAGGCTGCGTTAGACAATATCGTTGATTAAAAAAAAGGGGGAAGCGGGCCCACCCGTTGGAACCTCTGCAAGGAGGATCTTCAGAAGGCGCTCTGGTGGTGCTTTCTCCTTGACTGAGTTTCACTCGTAAACTGTGCACGGGAAATAACCGGGGGCCCAGCTAACAACCGCAACAAAGCCATGACCCACTAACAGCAGGAGCGGTGGCGAAGCACAAGGGGAGGATAGCGCCACCTTCCGGCAGACACCAAAACAACAACGCAACACCAAAACAAAACAAAAGGAGAAAATGGCAAAACTTACTTCCGGCTCTAGTGCCTCCCCACTCTCACCCTGGCCAGTGCGAAACGTTTTTCCTTCTTCCTTCAACTGGGCATAAAAGATAGGACCTTACACCTCAGTGGTATCTTCTACAATGGAATCCCTTTTCGTTTCCAATTCTGGGCAAATACAGACTTCCCTCTGTAAAGGATGAACCTAGAAAAATCACTAGATGTATATGGAAAGTTTTGGAAGTTCATAAAAGGGAAACCACCTGAGAAACCCAGGTGAACATGCACCTGTGAAACGAAGTTATTGGAAGAAATAGGACATTTTAGAAAATCTCTAATTTGCATCCCCAGTGAAATTCGAGGAGCTTTTAATAGCTCCGAAGCTAGAGCAAGAAGCCGTGAAGAAGAAACAATTTGAGATCAGAGAAATTAGGCTAAAGATTAAAAACACAATCGCTGAAGTAAAGAAATGCAAAGCAAAGCATACTAGGTGGTAAATTTTAAGAAATCAGAAGATCGGGGCGTTTGGGTGGTGCAGTTGGTTAAGCCTCCGACTCTTGGTTTCAGCTCAGGTCATGGTATCAGGGTCTTAGGATCCAGCCCCACTTCAGGTTCCACACTCAGCACAGAGTCTGCTTGAAATTCTCTCTCCCTCTGCCCTTCCTGCTTGTGCGTGCTCTCTCTTTCTCTCTCTCAAATAAATAAATAAATCTTAGGGGAAAAAAAGAAATCAGAAGATGAATGAAAGCCATCAAAAGAATCAAAGAAAACGTATGATGTGGAAGACATACCCAGAAGACCAAACATACACATATGTGAATCTCCTGAGGGAGAGTCCACGGTGAAAAGAAAAGCAATAATCAAAGTAATAACAGACCACCAGGAGGACATTTAATCAATCTGTCACCAATCCTATTAACAACTCTGAGCAAAATAGGAAGGAGAGAAATGAACATGCAAACATCATCTCAAGCAAACTTCCTGCATCCTATTTAATGGCAAAGCCAGTCACAGAAAATGAGAACAAGGACATCACTAGCATTTAATACAACTAGGGTTGCCCACAAAATATGCAGAAATCAGAAATAAAAGACATAACTACTGGATGTCACTCACTATCAGGGAAATGCAAACCAAAACTACAATGAGATATCACCACACACCAGACAGAACGGCTGAAATCAACACCACAAGAAACAACAGGTGTTGTCGGGGATGTGGAGAAAAAGAAACCCTCTTGCACTATTGGTGGGAATGCAAGCTGGTGCAGCCACTGTGGAAAACAGTATGGAGGTTCTTCAAAAAGAACAGACTAGCTAGAGACTATAATGTTAAGTGAAATAAGTCAAAGAAAGACAAATGCCATGTGATTTCACTCATAAGTGGAATTTAAGAAGTGAAACAAACAAAGGGAGAAAAAAAAGAGAGAGAGAGAGAGGCAAACCAAGAAACAGACTCTTAAATTCAGAGAACAAACTGGTGGTCACCAGAGGGGAGGTGGGTGGGGGATGGATGAAATAGGTGATGGAGATTAAGAGCACACTTATGATGAGCACTGGGTGATGTATAGAGATGCTGACTTACTATATTGTATACCTGAAACTAATATAACACTGTATGTTATAATAAATTAAAAAAATTAAAATAAAAAACTTAACAACAAAAAAGTCACAATTACTGGAATGGAGGAGATAAAAAGCATTGTTATCTGCACCTGATATAATCGTTCACTTGGAAAACACAGGAGAATCAACGGGAAACCAGTCACTGAAGGAAACCACTAGCACCAATAAGGGAGGGAGTGAGTTACAAATTAAATATTAGGAAAGTATCTACTTAAAAAATACAATGTAACAACGCAATGCGTTGGCTCAGTCAGTTAAGCGTCCGACTCTTGCTTTCCGCTCAGGTCATGATCTCAAGGTCCTGGGATCGAGCCCCACATCGGGCTCCACGCTCAGTGGGGAGTCTGCTTGAGGGTTCTCTCTCTCCCTCTCCCTCTGTCCCCCCACTCCCATGCACGTTCCCTCTTTCTCAAATAAATAATCTTTTTAAAAAATACAACGAGTGCTCACGTCAGCAGCACACATTCTAAAATTGGAATGACACAGACGTTAGTATGGAAAATGACATACAAATTTATGAAGCATTCCGTATTAAAAAAAATGACTGGGGGGTTGGTGCCTGGCTGGTGCAGTTGGTAGAGCATACGACTCCTGATCTTGGGGTCGTGGGTTCAAGCCCCCGTTAGGCCTAGAGCTTACTTAAAAAAACTGACTAAGGAATCCCATCCACATAGTAATAAAAGTATAAAACCTCAACATAAGCAAGAGGAGGAAAAAGAAGAGAAGACGACCAAACTTTACTGAAAGACGAAAAGGAAAACACAGAGAAATGGAGAGAAAGCCACATTTCTGAATGGAAGGACTATAAAAATGTCAATATTCTTGGGGGAGATGCAGGGAGAGCTCCCACCTCTGTGGACCACAGTCCAAGGAGGACCCAGAACACCAGAGCAAGCCCAAACCAGCTCTCCACCTTTGCGTCTCTGTGCAAAGTCAGAAAAAAACCCTCACCCCACTCCAAAGCCCTGACTGACCACACATTCCCGGGACATGCAGGACCATGGAATCATCAACCTAAGAATCCAGGACTTTACTGACATGAGTACCAAGTTCAAAACCTCCTCACACCCGGGCTACCCCGGGCATTGCCAGAAGATAAACTCATTCCTAGTCCCTCGATGATGGGGGGATAAAGAGAATTCGGTACTTACATCCAATAGAATATGACTCAGCCTTTAAAAGGAAGGAAATTTTACACAGGGTACAATATGGATGAAACTTGAAGACATGCTAAGTGAAATGAGCCGGTTGCAGAAGGACACACGCCGTATGATTCTACTTATATGGGTTATTGAAAAGACCCAAACTCTTCTCTGTGTGGAAGCAGAGTAGAACAGTGGCTGTGGGGGGCTGGGCAGAGGGGGGCTGGGAGTTGCTGTTCAGTGGGTGCAGGGTTCCAGAGATCTGCCCTACAACATTGTGCCTATAGTGAATACTGGGTTGCACACTCAAAGATTTGTTATTTAAGATTTGTATGCTTAGGGGCGCCTGGGTGGCTCAGTTGGTTAAGCAACTGCCTTCGGCTCAGGTCATGATCCTAGAGTCCTGGGATCAAGTCCCGCATCGGGCTCCCTGCTCAGCGGGGAGTCTGCTTCTCCCTCTGATCCTCCCCCTCTCATGCTCTCTGTCTCTCATCCTCTCTCTCAGATAAATAAATAAAATCTTTAAAAAAAAAAAAAGATCTGTATGCTTAAAGATCTCATGTTATAAATAAAAAATGAACTAAATGTAGAAAAAGATAGAAAAAAAATGAAAATGCCGAATCTGAAATGTTAAACATTTTTTTTAACACCAAATGTATTCATCAATAAATGATCCATGTAATATTATGAAAAAAATGAAACAGAAAAAAACCTCATTCCGGGGCGCCTGGGTGGCTCAGTCATTAAGCGTCTGCCTTCGGCTCAGGTCATGATCCCAGGGTCCTGGGATCGAGCCCCGCATCGGGCTCCCTGCTCGGTGGGAAGCCTGCTTCTCCC